GCAACTGTAAACTAAGCACTAATAGACTGCAGATATCAAAGAGAAAAATGGGCATAGCTAGGGAAGCAGGTGAATCAGGGACAGGAAGGCACAAAAAAAGGGAAGATGAAAGCACGCTTACTCCATGAAAGAGCCAGAGAAAAGGAACAGATTAAGGGACAAGTTAGCCAGAGATGAAAGTGGACACAGAAGAAAACCAGGAGATGGAAAGGAATTACCAAAGCAAGCACAGAGGTTTACAAGAAAGGTCTGCGTCTGTGACAGCAGTGGAAGAGAAGGGAAGGTTTCACTATCTGGAGAGCAAGTCAGTAATACCTAGAGGCAAGAAGGAAAAGCAAGATAAATGAGGGAAAAACCAGACTGTAGGGCTTGCCAGGATCCAATTAACTTGGAAAAAGAGAGATATAATCTTTCAGCTCATAGTAAAAATTGGAGCAAACAGCTATCTCATAGTTCAGTGGTTATAAATTGTGTTTTCTAGTACTTTTGGAAAGCAAGACTGCAACAACAGTCAGCACAAATACCTTAGTGGTACACAGATTCTCAGTAATGAAAGCTTGAGATGACCTTGTCTTACTAAAAATGTAGGAAATGCCAGTGTCACTGGGCTTGTGGTCATCTGCACGACTGCTTAAACACTCAGGTCCGCATCAGCACAAATGTTTCATGTCAGTGGCTGCTGGGGAAACCAAGGACTCCCTTTGTCTCCTGTTCTGCCCCAGCTGTTTCAAATAGCTTCATGCTCCTTGCAGTCTCTCTTCAGAGAGGATGGCAACTTCTCTATTCCTTTCCTTTGCCCCCCATCACAGACGTTATATGGGCATTACCTACATCACGCTTAGTGACTTTTGAAATGGCAACATAGACATCACACATTAGACTCATGATAAATACTGTAACAATACAATTTATGCTATGCTTTCCCAAACTTTGCAAGAACGCTTGGGACTGTTGACAGCACAACCATTTAAATTTGCTCATTAATCCTGTCTGCTAAAGTCTTATGCCCAAAAATGCATTCAGTTTAAGAAAAAGTAGTTCATTACAAAAACAGTCTCAAAACAGTGTTCATCACCTTTTACTTAATACTTTTAGGCATGAGGTGTATAACAACTATGCTGGTGTAAACTGGAATATTAAGTCTGTCAACATAATCAATGTAAAGAGTCAGTATAAAATCCCTAGTTCACCACAGCATTAGGAAAGTTGCAGAAAAACTTCCCCCGCCCCCACCACTTTCCTAATCTTAAAAAGTGTTGTAGCAACAAACTTGCAATATGTAAATTCACTACAGCACAAACATGCAACAACTACAATATTGTAATCCCCAAACGGGCACAAAACTTGAAATGGGAAGTCCCTTCCTAGGTCAATTAAAAGGCACATATGTATACGTGTATGTAATACCACACACACTAGTAACTGCTACCCAACAGTTGCTCTGTTCCCCACTCACATGAATCATGGAAGTACCTCCCAGGCTGGAGCTGGGAAGAGTTAAAATAAATAGTAATAATTTTTGGTGAGGTTCATACTGCTTTCTAGTTCTTCCAACTCTTAAATGTTTGTGAAAACACTATGCAATAGCAGACTAGTTCAAATCTTTTGTACTAGGACCCCTAAGAATTGCTCCAAGAGTAACACAATGTCAAACTTTTAACTGAAAACCCTGTAACACACACAAGGTTCTTCACTCCAGCCACACGACTCATCACAGCTTCTAGGACCACAGTTTATAAACTACTGCCTTCAAAAGCAACACATAACTCTCTAGGCTCACTGACTATTTATTGTAGGATGTGATCTCAGACACCTGCCTCAACCCAGGAAGCAGGCAGAAAACCTCCACATATAAACTCAAGGTTTTGAGCTTCATGCAGAAAGGATTTAACAATACTCGGACTCAGACTGTTAAATCTTGCCTTAGGCCGGTAATAGGTCTACTTCTTAGTCCATTCACAGTCCAAAATAACCAGCTCCACTCCTAGATCAAGGAATATAGATAAGTCCTTAACATATCTAATAGGTTACTCTGCTGCATCCAAGTATGATAAAGTAGAGGAATAAACTGCATTTTGTTCCTGCATGGTAGCATCCTTTGCAATTTCACAGATTCTTTCTATACAAGTTGCATAATTTACGTAATTTGAACCAGAACCAAAAGTCTGTCATTAAATTATAAACATTTGTGCATGCAGGAATG